CCCGCCGCTCGCGCCGTGTATCTATCCGCTCTCTTTGTATTTCTCCCTTTCTCTCTCTCTCTCTCTCTCTCTTCAATTTTCTTTAATTTGGTTCTTATTCTATTTTGTGTATTCTATTTTTATTTTATTTTTGCTGAATTTATTATATGCTTGAGCGTTTCTTCTTTCTTTTTGTAACTAATTTTCTTTAATTTTTGAAATTTTCTCTGTTCTCAATGTCACATTTGCATTAATCTGTTCTTAAAGGGCATAGCTCTAGAACGGTAATAAATGCCCTATCTATCTATACATCTCTCATTCCTCCTATTTGACGCACTTTTTATTTCCTTTTTGAATTATCCTACGATAAGAAGGGTGTACCTTTATTATAATTCTGTAAAAAAGCTCAATGCGCGTTTCTTTAATAATCGAAATCGAGTAGAAATATGCGATAATACGCAGTCAGATTTGCACAAAGCGAGATACATGCCGCTATATATTATATACATTCTCGATCTTTACGTAATGTTGAAAGATATCGATTTAATTTATATATAGAATATAGATAATCTCCAAATCTATTCTATTCTGGAGGTAATGTTATTGATGACGAAATTATAACTATTAGGAAATGAATGCTAGCAAACGGTTTTGCTTTCAGATAATGCGAACACTAGACCTATAATTAATGAGACTACCAAATAAGTCGATACTCTTGAAGAATACGTCATACCTATTATTGATCTCTCTTATATTTTTTATTATCGTAGACTATCCAAGTCAGTTTAACATATTTAATTACTTTTTTAATTTAACGACAAATATTATAATTAGCGCGCAGTTTGCTTGAACTGGAAATTGTAAAAATTGACACAAAAATATTATTGAGCCAATATTATTTTGGTCTTTTTTGCTTATTTGTGTTGATTATTTTTTCGCACGGAAGAATGATCACAGGTTAATAAGATAATAATATAGAAATTGTCTCGTTTTGTTAATTTTCTGTATAATTAGACATCGGACGTTTTATAAACAGAATATAAAATATACACAAATATGCAAATATGTAAATATGCATAAATAAATATACATTTTCAGAATGTTTTTTTTTTAATAAAATGAATTTCTATTTCTGTCTTTCCAATCTACTTTCTAAAAAAATATGCAATCGCATATAAAAATTCATTTTCTAGTAACATAATAACGCATACAAGATTACTCTACAAGATGATCTCACGCGTGATATGCGTTAATACTATGTTGTGTCCAATCGAGTTTATGTAAAAATCAGTGCACGTACACAAAGAGCAAAGAGACAGTGACGCACGCCAACGACGTTGATCTGGCATAACAAAATGTTCTAAATTTACCAATGGCTCTCGACGAGGTGGTGGGCGCGCACTATTCGTGGCCCTAATCGACGCGATTTTGCGCGGGCGAGCGACGCTATTTCAAGCCGCCACGCAACCACCTGAGCCACCCAGCATCCCCAAATACCCGGGATGACTAGTGTGACGAGCGTCGAATATTTTCCTATGCTGCCGATGAGTCAGTCAACCGATGATGCGAGATTTTTGGCAGTGATTACCGTCGCTCGTCCTCTCACGATCACGTTGCATCGCTTCTCGTCCTCGCTCGGTTGTCGCCACCTTTCTGCGTTGTATATCTTTTATTGATCGACGCGCGAGAGACGCAGGTCGTGTACGGAAGATAAATAAGAATCCGCGTGCGATAACGATGCGCGATCGATAGTCATGGGAATTCTATGTTGACGCGAGATGTGTAAATTAAGATGTTTTTGGGGATGACGCTATACGTAAAATTACGTGAAAAGTGAACAATACGAGATGTTCTGGCACGCGCGCGATTTTGAATTC